TTTTTGTAAGTCAGATGAAAATGCTCTATCAACATACAATAATAAAGGTGGGAAAACAGATTTTTGGCACAAATCTGCTAATAGTCTAACATTACTGTATCTGTATACCCCCCAACACACATTGGTTTTAAACAGGTATTCAAGATCAGACATTATTACCCCTCAAACTTAAAATTTAGTTGGTTTTGGCCCTGCCACATTAGGGACAGAGACTGAGCAATACGTAAGTCCACAGCCTGGGTAATTATGCAACTTCAGTTTCCCTGCAGAGTATCTGGCAGCAGAGAACTAAGATGCTGATTCTTTATTCCTTTCCCCACATGGCAGAAGTGCATTGCAGGCACTTGGGGGAAGGAAAGTATTTCTTAATTACTCACTGAATCTGTTTATTCTTCCCTCCACTTGAGGCAAATTGAAAGATATCACCAGCATATGAATACAAAATGGCCAGCCTGGTTAAATATCAGAATTCTTGTAAAAGGACTGGGCTTGTCAAATACATTATTCTGTTGATATAAAATTATTGGCATGATGCAGAAACTTGTGTAAAAGTCTCTTCTGGTTCATCCTGCAAGAACAGATATATATGGTTTTTAAACATAAGGAGATCAAATACATATATGAAGAAAAAATATGAAAAAATCCAAACTGCCTTCCTCTTGTGTACCTGACATTTGAAGGTTTAAGTCAGTTTGGCTCATGAAATAAATACAAAATTTTAAAGAGATAAATCAACATGGAAATATAAAAGTTAATAATCTTGACTTCAACAGTGATCTATGCATATTTTCTGTGGAAGCATTAAAACAAGATTACTGCATAACTATCAGAACCATGCTGCATTCTTAAGCTATTTCTGATTTCTATAGACTGTCAAAATCTCCCATATGATTTCCATATGGAATTGCCTGCTTAAGACAGATTTTTATTTTTTTTTAATGCAATTGGAACTTGCCAACTGAAATAAGTAGCTTTGCTCATATTTTGCAACTTAGCTTTCAGAAACGTTTTAAGCATCAGGTAATTCCTTTTGTACTCCTGACCTGAAGTATAATTTGCAGGAGAAAAATACTCTGGTTCTTGGTTTAACACTGTTTCAATTCCAAGCTCTAGACTATGTCTGCACTGTTTAAAGTCTAAAGTAGCAGTGCCAAGGCCATATGAACTTCAACCTGGAGAGTAACAACATCATATTTGGTTCTTTCGCTCCCCTACCAAAAATAAAGGCAACAGGATGATCCTACCAAATAAGAAGATTTAACAAAAATAAACACAGATTTAAATTTTAATAGCTTGCAATATATGAAGAACAGAAATAGAGATACCACCGAATAGTTCTAGTGTTATCGCAAGATACAATCTCTCCGGAACAATTTCAATTACAAGTTTTTAAATCAGAACAAGCCTATAGAATAACACAGCTTTCAATTTTACCAGAAAAACAAATATTAAGACATGTGAACAAACCAAACATAAGAAAGACTAAACCAAACCAGCTCCACATGGACTCCCCTATCCCTACAGATAGGAGGTTTTAGCAGAAGCCTTTGTTCCTGTGTGTTGATTTCTTAACTGCCTCTTTCCTAATCCCATTCCACTGAAAGAAACTAATTCTTATATATACATACACCGATGTATATATATACAGATATACACACACACACAAACACAATAACTTGCAGCTTCTCAAATTAGATACTACTGCAGCCAAGTCAGTCATGACTAACAAGGAAACTACCATCTACCCTGACCCCAGTGCACAAACACATCCATTTCCTAGACTTTTCAAAGACTTCAATATATAAGGTACTTCCTAGAAAAAGGTTCAGTTATCACTATCTAAGCAACAGAGGACAAAATTTGACATGCCTGCTTTAGTAGGTAGGCATACATGAAGTAAATCAACAATTAATCACCACAGCCATCACTGCTACAAACACACTACAAGGAATTCCAAGTCTGTTGACTGCAGCTACATACATTATAAAGCACAAGTAAAATGAAAACATTCCATACTCGTATCTCTTTCCATAGTTTCATTTTGTAACTCACCCCTTTTCAGCTATAGAAATGCAGTACATCTGAACAGGTAACAATAAATGTCCTCTAACAAACACCAGCATCTTTCCCCTATTCATGGGGAAGACAGGCTAGCAAAGAGAAAGACTACAATACTATTTTCTATTAAATTGCTCAAAATTACATTGAACATAGGTTTAATACAACCTGGTCTACTAGAACGTATGAGTTAATTACCCATGCAAATTTTCTGTTCTACATAATTGAAAAAGAAAAAAAATCATTCCAAGCTCTAAAACAGGATATACATCTTACTTTGTAAGACTTGTAGAAACTATGACATATGGCACACTAGGAAAAGGTACAGGAAGACATCAAGGGGATTTTTAAGACTGTGAATACCGCAACAGCCAGATTTGGAGTTCTCTGCCAGCTTTGCTAATTGTATAATAAGGAAAAAGGTTGAGATTTCCCAATTAAAATGTAGTGTTGCTGCTAGGAACTTGCACAGGGATGTGAGTATGGCACGACAAATTAAAACTCTTGGGCTCAGAATATTAGTATTGAGACTCCAGTTTCACAGCTGTTTCTTTTGTAGCAACTGGTTTAGACATGGCTGCCTTTCTGCCCAAGCCGATTGTGTTTCCACTCTGGTGTTCCCTCTCATTGTCACAGCCCAGCTGCTTGTGAACTAACTCAACAACATCAGTACACTCATCTGTTGCTGATCCTGGAGGGGGGACAACTGACCTGGGCAGAGTAGGAATCTGGGGATGTCTATCATGACACTGATGCTTGAATAACTATTTGCTGGACTATACCTAAACAACACAGGAAAGAAAGGCACAAACACCCACTCAAGCACAGGGGAAATACAAAAGTGCTACTCAAATGCATTTTAAGCAACATTAATTATTGAATCAAAGATCAGCAAACCTAATTAGAGAATACTGACACATTTTCTCTACTGGCGACTATGAAAACAGATGCCTCTTACAACTACTGTAGAAAGGGATCAAATGAGAAAAATCAAATGAGAAAACCATAGGCTCATAAATGCAAACCAGTAACCTTATCTTCCTTCAGAGACAAGAATGGAATTAAAGTTCTGTAAAAACACGGTCAGGAAGTTTGTTTCTTAACGTCTTAAATGCTTTCATTTCCATGAGCATTATAAAACACTTACTCCTAAAATACCCATGACCGTTGCAAGTGTCCTGCAAATTTCATATCACTACAGTATGTCTTATTTGCTATCCACAACTTTTCACTAAAATGCCACTTGTACTTTGCTGAGCTCTCCTTTTTAAAAAGGATATGAAGATCAAAAAAAGAGGCTAGCAAGATTTCAAGTTATCTGCATTCACTAATCACAGCTTAATCATAAGGAAAAAGTGTCTGGACTAGTTTTATTACTATTGTTGAAATATTTTTATCTTCTGATCTTAAGCATTCTATGAGCAGGAAAGAATTTTCAAATAAACAATAAAAACAAAGTGGATGTAAAGAATCTAGTCTTTATATCACAGTAACTGACTCCCACCACTTCTAAAAAACATTTGTGCAAACTAAGAGGCCTAATACTTCTTTGCAATACTGTATGGAATCAATAATTAATTACTAATTAGTAGCTTTCATATTGCACCTGTAAAGCCTCTGTAACTTATCACTTGATACCAACTGATCAAATAAGAGAGACTCTCTAGTCATATTCTGCCAAATACTTGTTAGTCTTCTTACATGTTAGCAAACACAAGTTGCTAATAAGCTGACAATAAAAACATAGCTGTATTAATTTTCACACACCTCTGTTCTAGCAGCAGCTTCAGGTCACTGATCATGAAAGTATCAAAGGACTTAAAATAGAACAGTCAGCCAACTCCAGAGGGTAAATTCAAACAAAAAAGACACTGGAAAAACTAGACTGCAAAGTGTAGATTCAGCTAACGGATGACAGAAAATTTATAGAAGTCTTTTCTCTATTAGACATTTTATTTATTCCTCGTGTCCAACATATTCTAATCTGAAAAGACCAGATTGTGCCACAAATACTTCCGCGTACAGTAGCAACAGTAGTTCCACTGATACCACAATAAAATTTGCTTGTGATTTCAAATGAGCAATCCTAAGTTCTGTATTAGAAAGGAATTTGTCAGCTCAACCTTTGTAGTGTCATACTTTATGTTTACCTAATTTATTTTCTATACCAAATATTAAACAATAAAAAGGTGAAAATAGTTTTAAATACTTCACTTAAAATATAGTTGAATCTTATTCCATCGTACTGTCATTTTATAAACAACCATATGTAGTCATCCTTTTTACAGATTTTTTTTTTTTTTTTTCAACTCAGCTTCAGACAGGGAAGAAAATCCATTACTTAGGAGCTCAGTAATAGAATCATTCAGCTGTTGAACTAATGTTTTAATTAGTAGTTGTATAAAGCAAAGACATATTATTAAAAGCCTCCATGAAAGAATATAGCATTGTTGTATGTTTTACATTGACTTAATACAACTGGTGACTATTGAATGTTATTAGGTTGAACTACCTATGTCAAAACCTTTTTTTTTTTTTTTTTTTAATTTAAAGCTTTTAACCAAAGATTTCCATAAGGAGGGGAACCCCCCCCCCAACTATTTTCAAACCATTTTTCCAATACAGAAATATTCACTGACAGTCAGCGTTGTAAAACTGAAATCAAAGTGATCATATTGTCACTGATATATTTAAAAATGTAACACTTGAACTAAGTAGAATGATAGGTGTTTTCAAGCATTAGTACAGAGGAAATACACCTGCACTGACTGCTGTGAGGAGACAAAAAAAACCAAACCAAAACAATCATAAGGCTCCCAGTAATGAAACACATTGAACTCTTGAGAAAAATACTTCAAACATAATGATGCATGCTAAAAGACAGATATGTAGCTATTGGGAGCACACAGAAGAAACGTAACACACAAGCTTTAAACACTCACCATCTGAATTGGCTTTTTGTGAAGATCTCGTTCAGTCACCAACTTTTCCTGGTCAGTGACATAAAGGCCTTTTTGTGCCAGGGCTTGTATAACAGCATCATGACCTAGAAGTGGTTTTGCAGCATCGCTCTTGAGAATAAGGCTCCCAGCACGACAGTAGAGTTCTGCAGACAGCAACAAGTTAACAACAGGTGGTTTAATGTGCTCCTGGTCATACTGGTCTGTATAAAATGGTTCTCGTAGTTCTTCTGGAACGTTGTCTACAAAGACAAAAAAAAAAAAGCATTAGTCAGTATCAGAAAAAGATAGATACAGTATTAGGGTTTTTTATATGTATGAACTCAAAATTATGTTAAAGCATAGAGTCTTTACCAGTCATCATGATATAAAACACTGGTGAAAATTGCATACAAAGGTAACATTTGAACTATAAATAGAAACTTGAGGCCACACCAGAAGGCCAACCTGCAGTTTACAGCATCATTAATTTAAAATTTCTTGGCTTCTCCAAATACATGCCCAAACATTCTCATTTCCTTTGGCATAACATTATATAGGTCAGACATATAAAGGCAGAACAAAACCCATTTAAACAAAAATCCTGTCTCTATTACAACAATAAAATTGAAATGGAACATTATTATTTTAGCACAGAATAATTCCAGACAAAAAGGAAAACAACCACTCAGCAGCCTTCTAAGTTTCATACGTGCAAGAGAAATTTGATTACTATACAATCCATTTCAAAGGTCGTGCATCATAGAATGATGACAATCTAGCAGTTAAGTGTAAATACATAGATGTTTTACTGGAATTAAAAAAAAAAATGTAGAAAGAGGGAAAAAAATATTATCAATTTCCTTCTGAAAAAATACTGAATTCTTATTTGCCTATCTGTGTTACTGAGTTCCTTTACAATTGTGGCTTCCTCCTTCTTCAATGAGCTGGCCTAGCGCCCACAGAAAGCTATGCAAGATTCTGTCAAGTTTATGCTGAGCTTTTAACTGCAAAATTAGCATTTCAAGACAATCTAACAGTTTTTCCAAATACTTTTACACAACAGAATACAGGCAGACTATATTTATAATTGTCTACCACAAAAGTAATGGTTATAAATTAAATATAGTACTAGATCAAATGAAATTAAATCACTAGTGAAATGGAAAATAACTTAGAAATTATTTCAGTCTTCACATTTCTAGGCATACACACTGCAAGATGCTCCATTTTCCACGTGTAAGAATTTCACTCTCTATTGTTGTAAAATCAGTTAAGCCAACAGCATTTATAGGATAAAGAGCATGTGACTTTTCCTGAGCCCAAATGGAAAAACCTATTTAATTACTAAAAGGAAAAAAATGCGTAGGAAAAAAGTGATGCAACTCCAGGTGTCTATCCCCTTTGCCTTCAGCTGGATAAATGGCTAAACAGACAAGGTTTGAAGCAGAGGGTGGAGTAAACAGCCCAATAAGGGTGGAGCAGGAGAGAGAGAAAAAACAGAACATGCCATCACAAGATAATGACAGATGATCTTCTTCCTCATATATTCATTCTATGGCAGTTCATGTGCTTTCATTATGGGCTTTGGAAGAAGAGCTACCTGCCTTCTAGCTGTAGGAGAAGGTACGCATTATAGAGTGCAAAAAAGGAAAGAAATATTAACACATACTTTTTAAGATGTTGTAAGGATGGTAAAAAAGGATAAGATATCACTTCTTACTTGCAAATTCAGAATATCAAGGGGAAGAGAGGTATAGTGTATAAATTTGCTTAAACCAGGACCCTAAATTCGGCTAGAAAGCTGACAGCTGTGCTTTAGAATAAAGATGAAAATACAGTGTCAGCAAAACTACTCTACCCTTCAAAATACAAGCCTAATACCTAACATAATTACTTTTTAAAAAGATAATAAAAGTATTAATAAAAAATCTACCAGTGTCAGGCAATGATACTGCAATCTTCTCTTGCCGCCTCCCAGCCTCACTTACTGACTCTGTAGGACCTATAGCCACCCAATACCACAAAAGGCACTTATAATTAAGGAACTCTATGAGCTGTTAGGCACCTGCTTCCCTAGGTACTATTTCCATCTATCTCAATTCTACCTGTCCTTTCTTTTCCCTGTTTGTCCATACACTGTTTAAATATTAAGCTCATTATTTCTCAAGTCCCTCATGATCCATCTCCACTTCAGTATCAAGAGCTCAATCCTCATCATGACTTAATCCTTTATAATTCCAAATGCCAACTTTAAAACATCTTCGTGCTATTTCCTCATGCTAGAGAGCATTAGAAAACATTTTTTGTAAATATCTCACAATGCACAGGCAGCAGATTTTGCCTTTTTTGAAAAAAAACCACACACCCCTTTTTGAATCACATGGGAAATTAGATGAAGACACTGAAGACAATGACAGGTTTCAAGTCTGAAAATTTGAGCCAGAAGAGAAATCCAAAGACAGGAGATAACAAACCCACCACCTATTAATGACTAATTTCTGATCTTCCGTATCACCGAAACAGACCCTAAAGTGACAAGGTAAGAGGCAATAAACACATTTATTATGAAAGCATAATATCCACTACTGGCATTTAGTAACAAAAAACCTCAGTACACTTAAAAAAAAAAAAAAATCAAGATGATAACTACCAAAGAACTATTTATAAATGATACTTCTGCTCCTGAAAAATACAGCAAGAGACAAAATGAGATGTATGCCATTTCTTTGACTTCATTGGTGTTCACAAAAATAAATCTGGAATAGAAACTTACTGGTGATCATAAAAATAAAACCGGAAGAGAAATTTATTAGAGAAATAGAATACAGAAACAAGGGGCAATGAAGGGTAACTGTGACTACAGACTTATTCTGAATTTATAAAAGCAAAATATGTGAAAGCATACAAATAAGAAATCCCTGCTGCAACAAGATCAGAAGTCTTCACAAAAATTCTCATGAGAGTTCCCTTCGCACAGAAACACAAGCACTTTTCCCCATTTATAACATGTACCAAACTGTTTGATATCAGAATAGATCTTGATAGAAGAGTCAAACTGTGTTCTCATTTTTGTTATAGTTACACAAAAAAAAAAAAAAAAAAAAGACACAGCAGCTATATAGAGGAAACTCTTCCTGTTACTGATCTCAAAGTAACAGCCCTTCCAGAATTGGCGTGCTTTGCCTCTGCAGTCCTGTGGAAAGGAATTTCAAGGCTACATCCAGTTCTCAGCAGATTACCAGACCAACCAACAGGGTCAAAAGCCTTTATTAACAATTCTGGCAGGACTGGAGATTTGTTAAACAGCTCTGTTAGAGAAGAATCTTAACACTTAACACATAATTCCCAATATGTGCATTTCACCAGTCCCTTTCCTTTGCCCATCTGACAAGAGTCTTTCAAGATTAAACTCCAAAGTAAATGAACAGTTTTTAAAAAAATACCCTGTTGTGCATACTGCCATAAAGTACCATTTGACCTTGAAATTTGTGGCAAAGTATAGCAATTATGTTAGAGAGAGATAGCCGGGACACTGAGTTCTGGGAGTTGAGCGCATGTAATATGGATGAGACCAAAGGAACTGGGTGTATTTCTGCTGGAGAGGTGGTGGGAGGATCTAACTGCAGTCTTTCAGCACCCAACAGGCAGGTTTCAGAAACACAGACTTGTACACAAGCTGCCGCAAGGGAAATTTCAACTGAACAAGTAAAAAAATTCTTCACAGCAAAAGGACTCAGCTGCGAAACCACCATTCACAGGGACTGTCAAAACCTGAGTGGACAATGCCCTGAGAAACCTCTCCTAACTTTGAAGCTAGCTCTTCTTGGAACAGGAGGTTACACTAGATGATCTCCAGAGACTGCTTTCATCCTATTTTTTCCCTAAAACTGTCAACAGGAACACAGGTTTCAATTTTGGAAATATTTTCTTGGTATGGGTTTAAAAAAAAACCCAAAAAGTTTGACATTTTGGATTTTGTAAATATTGAACTGTGAAGAGAATAAATGAAGCTACTGTACAAGTTCAACACACAGGGAAAAGAACAAAAAGGAAATACCACATTAGCCCAAAACAATAATGTAAATTTAAGAATCAGGCTAACTTTAAAACAGTATTCAACATATCTTCAGGTAATTTTCCCATAACTTATAATGGACTCAAAAGTCCTGCAGATACTCTCTTGAGGAGGGGACAGGAGAAGGAAAAAAAAGGACTTATTCTAAGCTTTAAAGCAAACAAGGGATTATTATTTCTCCCCACCATGAGATAGAATTGTAACTTAACTTTCCATTTAAATAGACCATATTAAAGGGAAGGAATCATCTAAAATTAATTCATGGCTACGACCTCTGAATTTACCTTTAAAAGCTGTTTTATAAACAAAACGCTCTGCTCAGGTAAGTCTGAATTACTCCTTGGGAGGATAATATGAATTACTCCTTTGGAAAAAATTATTTGTATTAATGTAGAAAGTTTACACTTTCTTTAAAAACAAACTGGTTTGTTGTAAAGTGTCTGGACTTTCACATAGATGAATACAATCCTTTGAGTTACATAACCATTGAGTTTTTCAAGTTTATAAGAGTGAATAATTCCAGGTTTACAAATGTTTGCATTAAGGAAGTCTAAAATCTTAGAAGTCCTTGTCAACAAAGTCTTTTCTTTTTTTTTATTCCTGAGGATGACATAAACAAGTTAAAATATTTCACCATGAGCTAATTAAAATATACATCATTCTTGGGAGCCACAGGGCCACAATAAGCCTCACCCTAGAAAATTTCCATCTCTACAGGTTACTGACATCAATCAACAAAGACGTTAAGAAAAACCTACTTGTAGAAGACTTTGAGATTTAATACGTAATTATTTCATGAAAATTCTAACTAATACCTTTAACCACTTCCTAGTGCAAACCAGTAGATGAATTTATGCCAAATCTTAATGGACTCAATTACTTGACAGTTTTCTGCAGGACAGCAAAGGTATGCCTTTGTCATAAAGTAACAGTGTTAAGTTACTTCATTCAGACTCCCACTTTGCAACAAGGATTCTGGTGCCACGTTTGCCATTTGGGCACAAGAGAACAGAGCTTGCATGGAAGTCAGGAGTCAGAGCACTAAGAACAGGTCAGAGAAGCGTAATTTACATTATTTTGCTTTTGATGAATTTTGGTAGTTGCCTCAGTAGAGGAGGGAGACATTTCAACTTGCTCTTTTATTTCGTAGACACCTTCAAGGGCTCTGATGAGTACTCAGGTTCT